GTTTTGTTTTGCTTTTTTAAGGCGAAGAATATGCCTTAGATATGTGTGGCAGGGCAGATTAGTGCATCTAGCAGATCTCTTTGGAGCCTTTAGTTTCCCTTTCCTTCAAAGTCCTGTGGTTATTGTTAGAATTTTAGTGATCAGATCTACAGGAACCTGTAGTTCTTTGTATGTTTGTGAAACAATGATTTACTATATCCTGTGTTACTATTATTTGATAGATCATTCAACACCAGCCAGCCAGTCTCCTCATTCCTCTAACCCAAGCAGCCTGCCCAGTTCTCCTCCAACACACAACCATAATTCTGTTCCATTCTCCAATTTTGGACCCATTGGGACTCCAGATAACAGGGATAGAAGGACTGCAGATCGGTGGAAAACTGATAAGCCAGGTGAGATCTACATTTCATTGCGAAGCAAAATTGAAAGAATTTACTCTATCCTTCCCTAGGGTCTGGCAATTGGTAGTGATAGAACGTCTTCTTGAATTTTTCTTATCTCTTTTCATCCCTTAGCCATGGGTGGGTTTGGCATTGATTATCTCTCAGCGACATCATCCTCTGAGAGCAGTTGGCATCAGGCCAGCACTCCGAGTGGCTCCTGGACAGGCCATGGCCCCTCCATGGAGGATTCCTCTGCTGTCCTCATGGAAAGCCTAAAGGTGAGTAGATTTCAGGAACAAGAACCACAAGATTATTATAGCAAAGATGTCTCTGCTTTCATTCACATAAATAGCTAGACTTCTCAGGCCCTCGCAGTTGACTGATACATAGCACATATATAGCAAAGTTCTAGAAACGTGGTCTGCCTTACAAGATTCTTGAGTGATAATTTTTAATTTCTGAATTCACTAGTGGTAAAGCAGTATCTTCAGGAGGACAAAAACAAAGGTTTTAGTTTCGTTCTAAGGTTAAGAAAATTCTGATTCATTTTGGAATGTTTGATTTAAGCCTTTTCTGACAAAATAAGAGTACCTAATTTTAGAAATGTTTTGTTTGCCTAAAACTTTTATAGTAAATGCCCTGTGTGGTACCACATACAGCCGAGTTTCAGTAAAAAGACTTGACATAAAATGTGATTTCACTTCTTCTGGTTTAAAACAGTCTTAATGGGAACTAACTAGCTTTAAGAATCTTATAATGACTTTTTCTAATAGCTGGATTTTTGTGGGGAGTGGGGTTTGGTTTTGGGACCATATGTATGCCTTTATATTTGGCTGGGATTGAAAAACAAATCCCTTTCAGACAACTGGGCATTTGACCTCTGCTGACAAGATCTGGACTGTTTTTCAGTCTATCTGGTCCAGTTCCATGATGCATCCTGGACCTTCCGCTCTGGAGCAGCTGTTAATGCAGCAGAAGCAGAAACAGCAACGGGGACAAGGCACCATGAACCCTCCACACTGAGGCCAAAGTGGCAACCTGGGAATGAAGGCTCCATAAACCATGGCATGTTGGGTTTGCAGGACTGGCCCACACAGTCCCCTGCAGGTGGCAGCCCTCTTTTCTGTTTCTTGCTGTCAAGAGGGTGTAAGTATTCCACCAACCCGCTGAGTGTGCACGAAATGTTCGCAGTGCAACAAAAAGAAAAATCCATCAGGAACTCTCCATCCCCCCGGGGCCTTCCGGAGGGAGAGAGAGAGGAACTGCTGTTTATCTCACTCAGTTACTTGGTATCACCGCCTCTCACCTTCTCCATCGTGCATGTCCCCAGCCACATGGGAAGTGAAAGCTGAGAAGGGAAGGCAGATGGGAGAAGCCAATGGGAACTTCTCAGTCCTTTTTCCCTCTTTGGGGAATAAAATAGGAGTCCATTAATGATTGCTTTGCTGACTGAGAATGTAGTTGAAATTATTCTTAAACATCTTTTATTATTATTACTCTCAGTAGTAAAATATCACACTGAATTCTTCCATACACAGGTGTGCTTCTAGTCAGTGTGTAGCAAGGAAGGCCCCGTTCACTGCTTCTGTGAGAGGTTGGTGGTGACAGGATGGGGAACCGACCTCTTCAGCCAGTGGAAATGTTCCCTAAGGGAGAGTTCAAGGCCTCTCAGAAGGCTCTGGTAGGCCCTCCTCTGGCCAGGAGACTCCAGCAGGAAATGCCCTTCACTCTGTAGGTGCTCGAGCCCCAATCGAGGATGCAGTGTGGGTGGTGGTGCTGGACTGGCCTAGCAGGTGACTGCTGTAGGATTTCAAATTACGTTTTTGATTCCTGTACATTTTACAGTCGCACAGCAAGCAGTCTCGCAGAAGGCAGGCTAGTCCATTCACAGCCTGGAACATTCTAATAGGTAGAAGCTTTCAGTGTGGTTATTTTTTGTTTGGTTGGTTTTTGTGCCCCCATTCTACTTCCCACCCTCCTGCCCCACCTCCATCCCTTTTTTACCCGATGCTGTATGCTAGTAATTGTTTTTATTCCTAATGTGTACAACATCACATCTCCCCAAGAAGCAACAGCATGGGGTCCAGCAGTTGGGGCTCAAAAGACAGTCTGAAGAGGAAGGATGTGGCAGTATCTGCATAGCCCACAGAGGGCCTAGGGCCCTGCCCAGCTGCAGTCTCCCATCCTCCACTTTCAGAGTGAAATTCAAGGCAACACGGACATGTGCACGTCACGCACAGAAGAAAACACAACGTCGTCCATTTTGGAAAAGGCGAAAGAAAGGAATATAAACTCTTTGATATTTATTAGGAGGAAAGAGGACTGAAAAAGTACTTGCGTAGAAACAGAAGGACAGCATTTCTGTTAGGCATTTCCTGGAAAAGTAATATTTTAAGGGGAAATTATGAAAACAATCTAAATGTTCAATTGCTGTGCTAGTGGTAGGGTTTATTTTCTGGGAGGTCTCTCGTTTGTCTGTATGTTTGTGTACACACACATGCCCATCTGCTGTCCCAGAGGGGAGGGGTTGTGGTATGAGTGTATGGGGTTAGTGTGGAACTTAAGAGCTGGAACACAGCTGTAGAGCAAAGCACATCCAGGAGCCCCAGTTGTCACTGGAGTCTGGGCAACCCCAGCAATGAAAAGGGGTGAGATAATGCTCATTGCTCTTCAGAGAGAGTGGTTGGAGTCCCCCCACCCCGCCCCCCAGTATGCTTACATTATTGCTCTTTTAGTTTGACATGGTGTTTGGGTTTCGTTTTGTTTTTTTGAAAGGTCTGAAAAGGTGAAGCCCCCCACCCAATGGCATTATGAAACCTTTTGTGCTTCTCTTCAGCCCCTTCCCTGTGTCCATCTTTCTCTCCTCTTCCGAAGCCTTTTTCCTACTACCTTTACCCAGTTTGTGTGTTTGAGCTCTGCATTCAGGCAACTGCAACATTCCAGTGTTTGAACTGTCACTGATTCTTGCGCCCTAGACAAGCTAACCAGGTTTACCATCTCACTCCCAGTAATACCCAGCTCCCATCTAAAGCCCCATTCTGCATGAGAATTTGGTGTTTGGAATGTTTTCTGACTCTTGGGGCGGGATTCCTCGCCTTATCATCCTCACTGTGGAGTAATGAGGAGGGGGAGGAGAATCTTTATCAGAAACTGGTTTTGTGTAGTAAACTTTCTTTCCTGGTTTTTTGTTTTGTTTTGTTTTCTGGATTTTGTTTTTTGTTTTTGTCTGTCTGTGCAAGACCTGCAGCTGCTGAAAATCAGCTTTGCCTTTAATTAAACCATGTTCTCTCCAACCAGATCTGTGTATTGATTGTTTCTTTTCTATCCTAAAAGATACAACTATTGAAGAAAATCCAACTTAAAAGGCAAGAATTTCAATTACTCACAAGTCATCCAGGGAAAGGCATAGATGGTCAGAACTTGAATATTTTTCAGGGTTATTTTTGCTTTTAGTAGCATTCCAGACCAATGAATTATGGAAATTATAATTAATTATAATGGAAAGGCATGAGTAGTAAGAAATCGATTATCAAAATTATTTTATTTAATAAAAGAATGACTTATGTTAAGGAATTAAGAGCCCATCATTTTTATTCCTATTGTAGCTGTTACTAAGGCAGTTCAGAGAGTTTGTCCTCTTGGCCTGTAAAAATTCGCTGAATCTGATTAGCAGCAACATTAATTACTCTTCTTAGTTTTGGGGTTTCTTTTCTTTGAGTTGTGTCCAAAGTTTCTAGTGGTAGCTTGCTGGGTCTTCCAACTGGGTGCTGGAAGCCAGTGCTGTAGCAAACCGTAATGTCTGTGTGCTCACCCTGACCGACTGTCATTTCACCTACGTGTTGATTCAGTCTGCAGTTTTCACTTCCTTATTCTACTTTTTACAAGCGCCTACACACTTGAAAAATTGTTAGCAAAGCTGCACATACGCTACAAGAAGAAGGGGGTAGGGAGAGGAATTAAGGCCAGGCCTTAAGGTCTAATAGTTACAGAATCCTTCACCCAAGTTAGTCCTGAAAAATTGGACAATTGGTTTAGCCAAATCCATAGCATTCTGTTATGTATATTAGTATAGTATATGCAGTCATTTACCATATAGCAACATTTTGGTCAACAATGGACTGCATATACAATCATGCTCCCGTAAGATTATAATACATTTTTCCTGACCTGTATGTTTAAATACACCGATGCCTACCATTGTGGTATAGTTGCCTGCAGTATTGAACACAGTAATATGCTGTACAGGTTTGTAGCCTAGGTGTAGTAGGCTATACCTGGTAACCTATCTGTGTAGTAGGCTATACCATCTAGTTTTGTGTAAGTGCACTCTAGATGATGTTTGCACAACATGTTTCTCAGATCATGTCTCCATTGTGAAGCAATGCATAACTGTATTACCAAATGTCAGCTAACAAGATACTACTTACCCACTGGCTTCATGAACACTACTGTTTTTCATCGCTTAAATGTCGGTGATATATATTCAATATTGAGTTCTTAACACACGTTTCTCTGTGATAATGTACAAAGGTATGTAATTCTATAAATTCTCTGGAATTGAGTGTTGTATTCCATGAGACCCTCACTCAGTCTAGGTTCTGTTTAAGCAACACGTAATGAAAAAAGAAAACAAGTTTATTTGTATATGCTTCATGAATAAGGTTACTTCAAGCCTTAAGAGTCAATTATAGTAATGGTTCAGAAACAGGAATATTTGTACTTAGTCCTTGGGCCTGGACTTCGTGTCTTGTTTTTGTAAGATGGTTTTTTTTTTTTTTATTATTGCAGTATGACACAGAAAAGTACACCAATCAAATGTACAGCTTGATGAATGTTTACAGTGTGAACACAGCTGGGTAGCCAGCTCTCAGATCAAGAAACAGGATCAGCACCTGGAAGACCCTCTGGTGCCCTTTCCAGACACTTCCATCCACTCCTCCTCTCGCCTAACTCCTCCATTCACCTGTCCCCATCCCCTCACCCACTGTGCCCCAGGAAATCATCCTAGGTACTCACATCATTGTCTAGTAGGTTAAATTTTAACAGGGAATAGTTAACACTTCCAAACTGTAATGTCCCAGTACAGTGTACAGCAGAAGGGTGCTAAATCTTACAAACAGGTAATAGGGGCTTCATTTTCTTCAGCTTTGTAGTTTGTGAAACATCCTAGACTTCTCTCCGAGTGCTTTCCAAATCTGTAGTTGCGCATTCTTCAACGAAAACTTTGGGGAAAATGCCCACCTTCCCTTTGCACTCCCCTTCCAGCCATTCGTCATTCACTGTTAAAAGGAAAAGTACACATGGATTTCTAAAACCACTGTAGGAAGATTACCCTGTCTGACTCTTCCACACAGAATTTTTTATTGGTCACCCTTCCCCACCCCTAATTGTGATCAACAGGGCAAAGACAGTATTGCAAAGTGAGAGTGAACACTGGATTTAACCATCTTCTTGATCTGTCTTAACATGATAATGAAGGAGCAAAATGCAGAAGGATAAATTATGTTTTTCAAAAAGTTACCAGAGAAGTAAGGTCAAAGAAATTGAACAACGAATTCGTAAATAGAATTTCCATCCTTCCCCCACCCCCAGCCTCGACAGGGTCTCACTGTCACTTAGGCTGGTCTCACTCCTGGGCTCAAGTGATCCACCCAACTCAGCCTCCCAAAGTGCTGTGGTGATAGGGGTGAGCTTCTGTGCCTTACCTGTGCTTTGTTGGGAATCTTTGTTTTGACTACAGAAAAGGGACATGCCATTGGTTAAATATATTAAAAAATGAAAGTTCATTAGTAAACTTCTTTTCACTGAACTTCATTAAACAGCTGAGTTGGAGCTAGTGATGGGTTAGTACATGTTTGTAAAATATAAAGATTTTAATAGCTCCCACTCAGAGCCTGTAATAGAGTGCAGGCATTGTACTTAAAAAATATATTCAGACTTCATAATAACTTGTAGGTATCCATATTTTACTGAGGAAAAGGAGACCCAGAGAGGTGAATAGTTTGTTCAGAGCCATTCTGCCAGTAAAAATCAAGACAACTTAGGTATAATCTCCAAAGCCCACCTACCTGACCACACAGCCAGTTAAGTTTGTCTTTGTACATCTAGATCAGACATTAAGGCCCTGGTGCCTGGATCCTGCCCCCAGAAATTTTGCTTTAATGTGTGGTGTGACTGGGCAGCAGTTTTTTCAAAAGTTCCCTCAGGTAATTCTAACTGCAAATCACTGTCTTGATGCTTTCTACTTACAGGGTAGGTCGTGGACTGGAAGCTTATTAGAAATGAAAAATCCCAGACACCACCCCACACCAGAGTCAGAATCCATTTAGGAAGATCCCCAGGTGATTCACATGCGCATTAGAGTTTGAGAAACACAGATGAGACCGTCTCGTAACTTGAATGCAATTGAACTCCCCTCTGTCCTACCCTGACTGTGCTAAATTCTGTTTTCTATTGAAGTGCTACAATATGGGTACTTCCTCAACTTAGACTTGTACAGGTAGGTCATAGTAAGAAGTGCACTGGCTTCTCTCCTTATCTACCCAAAAGGTGGTTTTAGTGTGTTCTGTCATTTTATTCCTGCTCCCTCTCCCAAACTCCAGACAGCTGAGCTGGTTGGTTGATTTAGGCACCTAGAAAGTGGCACTGGGAGGTGTTCAACCCAGTTCTTCCCACTGAGTTACCATTCTCGCTTGTTGGAACAGTCTGCTTCTATATTACTACAACATTATATATATATTATATATGTTTTATATATATTATATATTTATATATATAATATGTTATATATATATTTATTTTTTTGAGACAGAGTCTCACTCTTGCTCAGGCTGGGGTGCAAAGGTGCAATCTTGACTCACTGCAACCTCCACCTCCCCGGTTCAAGTGATTCTCCTGCCTCAGCCTCCTGAGGAGCTGGGACTACAGGCACGTGCCACCATGCCCGGCTAATTTTTTTATTTTTAGTAGAGATGGGGTTTCACCATGTTGGCCAGGCTGGTCTCAAAACTCCTGACCCCAAGTGATCCACTCACCTTGACTTCCCGAAGTGCTGGGATTACCAGCATGAACCATCACGCCCGGCCTGTACTACTCATATTTTTAATTAATTGCTATAGACTTGTATACTCACTCCGTAACCCAGGCTGGAGTGCAGTGGTGCAATCTCAGCTCGCTACAACCTCCACCTCCCGGGTTCAAGCGATTGTCCTGCCTCGGCCTCCTAAGTAGCTGGGATTATAAGCACATACCACCACACCCGGCTAATTTTTGTATTTCTAGTAGAGACAGAGTTTCATCATGTTGGCCAGGCTGGTCTTCAACTCCTGACCTCAAGCAGTCCGCCCACATTGGCCTCCCAAAGTGCTGGGATTACAGGCATAAGCCACTGCGCCCGGCCTATTTTTATTTTTTTAAGACAGAGTCTCACTCTGTCACCCAGGCTGGAGTGTAGTGTAATGTTGGCTCACTGCAACCTCCACTCCCAGGTTCAAGCGATTCTCTTGCCTCAGCCTCAGCCTCCCTAGCAGCTAGGACTACAGATGTGCATCACCACACCCAGCTAATTTTTACATTTTTAGTAGAGATGGGTTTTCACCATGTTGGCCAGGCTGGTGTTGAACTGCTGGCCTCAAGTGATCCACCCACCTCAGCCTCCCAAAGTGCTGGGACCACAGGTGTGAGCCACCACACTCGGCCTACCCCCATTAACTTTAAAATTCCCACTCTCTTTGTCTGTTGGACTTTCTGTTATAATTGATAGTAGTTTTTCACTGCTTTGCATTGGTAGTGCACAGACTCAGCATATGAGCAGGGCTTTTATGATGGGACTTTTTTGTGTCCAGGTAGAGAATTAGGCTGGCAAACCACGAGCTGGAATGGTGCTTCTTAGAGTGTAGGCAGTAGACCAGCATCACCTGGAAACTCGGTAGAAATGCAAGTTGGTGGGCCCCGCCCCAGACCTGAATCAGAATCTCTAGAGAGTGGGCCCAGGAATTGATCCCTCTCCGAGGGATTCTTAGAACTCTCCACTTTTAAGAAGTGGGTCTTGCTGTGTTGTCCAGGCAACAGCCTTGAACTCCTGGCTTCCAGTGATCCTCCTACCTCAGCATCCCTAGTAGCTGGGATTACAGGCATGCTGTTTCAGTTTTTAGTCTGTTCATTCCAAACAGAATCAAGAAAGTCGCCGGAGACACAGCATAGTTCTGAATAGCTGGTTTTTAAGGCAAAATTTACCTACTTTTCTCTTTGAAAATTACATTAATTCAAAGAACTATGGTTTGCAGAAGGTCGTATGGCTTGATGCAAAGGCAAAGTGATTCCACCAATTTGTTACCTCTGGGAATGAAAATCCATGGTTTCCAAAGCATACTCCTCTTTAATAATCAAGATGTTATCACTGGCCAGGTGCGGAGGCTCATACCTGTAATCCCAGCACTTTGGGAGGCCGAGGCAGGTGGGTCACTTGAGGCCAGAAGTTTGAGACCAGCCTGGTCAACATGGCAAAACCCCATCTCTACTAAAAACACAAAAATTAGCTAGGCATGGTGGTGGGCGCCTGTAATCCCAGCTACTCAGGAGGCTGAGGCAGGAGAATCGCTTGAACCCAGGAGGGGGAGGTTGCAGTGAGCTGAGATTGTGCCACTGCACTCCAGCCTGGGCGACAGAGGGGGACTCTCTCCAAAAAAAAAAAAAAAAAAAAAAAAAATCTCAGCTTCTTGTTGCTTTCCTGGCTACTAGAACAATAGACAGGGAAAGTCTGAGTGCTCAGCTTTGCTCCCTCCAGCTAGATGCTAGGAAGCAGGTTGAAAACACTGGCTAAAGTTTTGTTTGTAGATTATTGATGTTTTCTTCTCTCTGCCCTTGACCTTGTTTCTGCTAACATGTTAATTTGTTTCTATATTCTTGGAGTAGCACTTACCCTTTGATAGCACCAGGATTATATCCCCTTCCTGAAACTCCAGGTCCTCTGGTTGGGTAGCCTCATAACTGAAGAGTGCCTCCACTTGGCTGCCTTTCTTAAGCTGCGGATCTGTTGTCTGGTTATTAGCATCAGCTTTTTCACTTTCCTTGGGTTCATCTGGAAAGCCTTGGTCACCCTGAAATAATAAAGGGCCTATTAATTTTCCCAATTTCCTCCCAAATGAACATTGAGCATCACTAAAGGAAACAGCGAAATGTCAAAGTAGAACCTGGGATATAAACTCATAAAGTTTGTGATCAGTGCCTTGTGTAGAGCTTATATGCTCTTTGTGAATACTGGATGTTGGGTAAATCGGTCCCCAACCTTTTTGGCACCAGGGACCAGTTTCATGGAAGACAGTTTTTAGATGAACGGTGGTGGGTGGTGGGTGGCGGTGAGGGTGGTTTCAGAATGAAATTGTTCCCCCTCAGATCATCGGGCATTAGATTCTCATACAGAGCGTGCAACCTAGATCCCTCACATGCAGAGTTCACAATAGAGTTTGCACTCCTATGAGAATCTAATGCTGCTGCTGATCTGACAGGAGGCAGAGCTCAGGCCTGTATACCCGCAGCTCAACTCCATCCCAAAACTACTAAATCAGAAACTCCCTGAAGGTGAATCCTGCAATCTGTAATTTTTTTTTTTTGAGACAGAGTCTTGCTCTGTCACCCAGGCTGGAGTGCAGTAGTGTGGTCTTGGCTCACTGCAAGCTCCGCCTCCCGGGTTCACACCATTCTCCTGCCTCAGTCTTCCGAGTAGCTGGGACTATAGGCGCCCACCACCACGCCCAGCTAATTTTTTTTTTTTTTTTGTATTTTTAGTAGAGATGGGGTTTCACCGTGTTAGCCGGGACGGTCTCGATCTCCTGACCTCATGATCCACCCGCCTCAGCCGCAATCTGTATTTTAAGTCCTCTAGGGAGTTCTGATACTTGCTAAAGTTCGAAAACCACTGCACAATGCCATACTTCTTTTATCTGTAACAACATTTCTTATACATCTTAGACTTCTGGTCTTAGACTTCTTCCACATTATGGTCACTTTTGCTTCACAAATGAAGGAGAAGGATGCAGTTTCTAGAGATGTAAATCATAGAATTTAACAAATCAACATTAGAAATGCTGCTAGGCTTGTATGTACCGAGTGTTACAAGTTCTAGCTTCTTAATGCTGTTTGTTGAACCTTGGTTTATTGTCTTTGTTGAGAGGCAGTACAATGAGGTGGAAATGGCCCTAGAGAGTCCACAGACCAGGGTTTGTGTCCCACCTCCACTGCTTACCAGCTCTGTGTCCCTAAGCAAGCAGTGTAACTTCTCAGAACCTCAGTTACCTCACCTGAAATTGAGGCTAGAAGAATTCAATGAGATGACGTAGAATAATAGTAGTTGGCATTTATTGAACACTTACTCTGTGGCAGTACTCTTCTAAATATGTAAAAATATTTAGACTTGGTTAATGGTAAGTGTTCCTGCATAGAGTAGATGCTTAATAAATGTTAGTTCATTTTCTTTTCTTTCTTTTTTTTTTTTTTTTTTTTTTGTATTTTTAGTAGAGATGGGATTTCACCATGTTGCCCAGGCTGGTCTTAAACTCCTGACCTCAGGTGATCTGGCCCACCTCAGCCTCCCAAAGTGCTAGGATTTCAGGCGTGAGCCACCACACCAGGCCTCTTTTTTTTTTTAGACAGAATCTCACTCTGTCACCCAGACTGGAGTGCAGTCGTGCGATAGCTCACTATAACCTCTGCCTCCTGGGTTCAAGCAATTCTGCCTCAGCCTCCCAAGTAGCTGGGGCTACAGGTGTGCACCACCACACCCAGCTAATTTTTGTATTTTCAGTAGAGACGGGGTTTCACCATGTTGCCTCAGCCTCCCAAAGTGTTGGGGTTACAGGCATGAGCCACTGCGCCCGTTTTCTTTCTCCTAGCGAGTGAAAACCTGCCTTGCTGCCTCCAAGAATAATGGATAGTGATAAAGAACATTCAACAGTGACTCCTGAGCCTGGATTAAATTGCAGAAAGATTGTTGGGAGTTTGAAGAGGGTTGGCTACATGTAGCCACCAAATAGATTGAAGCTCCTGTCAAAGGAAAATTTTTTAATTAAAAGTTTAAGTGAAGTAGTTCACATTTAGAGCAAAACTCCTTCTAGGAAGAATCTTTTAAAAAAGATGCTGAAGGGGTTAATCCAAAGACAGTTGGAAAACCTAGAGTGACCTTTCAGACTTCCAAGAGACCCCTTACACTCACACTCACTCTTACCCCCAGGTCCTGGGGCCTTTTGTCTCAGCCAGAGACACCAGGGAGTCTCATCCCCAGTGGCCGTATTTCCTGAAGGCAATTTTCTGACCGGGGAAGATACCTTAAAACAGGTTTATACACTGCCCCTTTCTAGGCTCGTTCTCTTTCACTCTTCCTCTCCCACTTTGTTTTTTTTTTTTTCTTTTCCAGCAAACATTTGTCTCTGATTTGAGTGAGAATCTACCAAAGAACCTCTTGCTTTAAACAGAAGCCTCAGCCCAGCTGCGAGGGTGAGGTTTGCAGGAAGGACTCTGCCTCCTACTGTGGCTCTGGGCCTGAATGAGCCAGAATAGCTTTCCCGCTTGCTCATTTCTACCATCTCCAAATCCACTTGTAGGTAGAAAATGGTAGCTTTCCCAAGGATTCATGTATGAACTGTTTCATATGATACTCCCTACACCAGTGTAACTGCAAATGCAACAGCCTAAAAATGCAAAGTCAGAAAAACAGGTGAATAGGAGAGCTGAAACTTTTGAAACAACCCTAATTAACAGCTTTGGTCAGTGGAGACTGGCTTCATTAATGCTGTATCTGGAGCTCTCTCCAGCCTCAGGACTGGATGGGAGCTGGTTCATCAGGAAGATCTGGCTAGCCTAGCTCAGTCCCTGCCTTGCTCATATACCTCATAACCATTCTTTCAAAGCAAGACCTGACTTTCTTCCCTGCTCACAGCAGCATCCTAGTGTACAAGGCCTTCCATGATATGTTGCCTTTCCAGCCCGTCTCCCACCACTCTCCCCATTGCATGCTCAGTAGTAACACTGAGCGCCTTTACCCACTATGCTGACTTCTATGGTGTTCCTTTCCGTCTGTAAAATGCATCCTTTCCTCCTCTACCTCACTAATTTCTTATTTATTGTTTTACGGTGAAGCTTCAAGATGATCTCAGCAGCATTTTCTTCAGGAAGACAACTCCTACCTGTTCCACTTCCCTCCAGCATTTCTGGGTTAGATAGTATACCACGTGCTTCCATAACACAGTACGTCCATTTGTGAACCCCCATCAGTTTACACAACATGAGGCTTCATGTGCCTGCCTATCTACAGAGCCCTAGGCGCTCAGCAAGTGTTTGTTGAAGAATGTCACTAAGCAGACAACCCAAATGTCCACCAGCAGGTGAACAGATGCACGGAATGGAGCATCCATACAGTGGAGTACCATTTAGCAATCAAAAGGATGAGACCAGTGAAACAAAAAGACTAAACACGCACTATACTATCCACTTGCATGAAATTATGTAAAAGGAAAAAGTATATTTACAGAAGGCAGATGGGTGGTTTTCTGGGTCTAGAGTTGGGGGAGGGAATTAATGTCAACAATAAAAAGAAATGACAATTTTTTCCCCTGGAGACCAAGAGACAGAGTTGGAGTGTTACCTTGTTGCTTCTATTAACGCTTCTAGCCTCTAACTTTTCACCTGACTCCCATTGTTCTTACTTGGAAGTCAGACTTCAGGCTAATAAGACCTCAGGCTAATAAGATAACGTGCCCTGGAACCATCAGTACAGCAGGGTAGTTAGGAATAGAGGCAGGCTCTGGAATCAAAACATCTGCTTGAGTCCGACTCCACTACTAACCAGCTATTTAATCTTGGTCAAGTTGCGTGACCTCTCTTTGCCTTGTTTCCTAAATTATAAAATGAGAAAATAATATCTACCTCACAGAGTTATGAAGATTATAAGAACTAACACACAGAATGCACTTGGCAGCTGGGCACATTGGCTCACGCCTGTAATCCCAGCACTTTGGGAGGCCAAGGCAAGTGGATCACGAGGTGAAGAGTTCGAGACCAGCCTGGCCAAGATGGTGAAACCCTGTCTCTACTAAAAATATAAAAATTAGCCAGGAGTGATGGCGGGCACCTGTAATCCCAGCTACTCGGGAGGCTGAGGCAGAGAATTGCTTGAACCCGGGAGGCGGAGGTTGCAGTGAGCCAAGATCGCACCACTGCACTCTAGCCTGGGCAACAGAGCAAGGCTCCATCTCAAAAAAAAAAAAAATGCACTTTGCACAGTATCTGACACATGGGAAGTTCTCAGTAGATACTTACTGTTAATAGAGTGTTACCCAAATTATTTCTTGGTGAAATAAATGCTATTTTCTTTCACCCTCATGTGAAAGTGTTCTTCCTTATGTTAACTTGAGAAGGTTGGCCAGGTGCAGTGGCTCACACCTGCAGTCCTAACACCTTGGGAGGCCAAGGTGGGAGGATTGCTTGAGCCCAGGAGTTTGAGACCAGCCTGGGAAGTATAGTGAGACTATATATACTGTAAACAAAACATTTTAAAAAGTAGCTGTGTGTGGTGGTGCACATCTGTAGTTCCAGCTACTCGGGAGGCTGAGGTGGGAGGACTGCTTGAGCCTGGGAGGCGGAGGTTGCAGTGAGCTGTGATTGTGCCACTGCACTCCAGCCTGGGTGACAGAGCAAGATGAAAGAGAGACACAGAGAGAGCAGGCAATGCAAAAGAGAAAAAGAAAAAAAGAAAAGGGAGGAGAGAAGAAAAGGAAAGAAAGAGAAAGAAAGAAAAAAGAGAAAGAAAAAAAGGGAAGGAAGGAAGGAAAAAAAGAAGAAAGAAAAAAAAGAGGGAGGGAAGGGAGGTATGGAGGGAGGGATGGAGGAAAAGAAGGAAGGGAGGGAGGGAAGGAAGGAAGGAAGAAAAAGAAAAGAAAACTTAAGAAGGTGAAGAATGGCTATGAGCTGAGCCTTAAGCTATGACTTCATTCCAACCTTGTTTGACAGTGATGGATGGGATGTTTGACACAGTCAGGCACGGAGCCAATGGAGGGGCAGGAGGCTTTCTGTGAGCTCCTGCCCTGCTGGGCCTGCTTTTCTCTTGTGAGAAACCCTCTCCCTGCTGCAAATGGGGTGAGGATGCAGGTAAAAGGGAGGCAGAGCTGTGACTTGTTACCCACCATATCCCCAAAACCACACATAGTGCCTAGTACACAGAAGGTGCTTGATAAATGTCAAATTGTTGAGGAAGTGGCTCAGTGGAAATGGAACTTTAGATGCCCTTCACTGCACTCACCACTGTGTTCTCACACCACAGAGTCAGACAGTAGTTTTTCACCTGGCCCCAGGCATCCTTCATGTTGTCTTCTGAAAGGGGCACCAGCTCATTGCTGTCTCGAGGCCGATAGCTGGGTGGGGATAATGAGTAAGAATCCAGTCAAAGAACATCATTACAAAAACCATCCTCCTCTTCCCTCCTCCAGGCCAGCACAAGGTCCCCACTGTTCCCCTCACAGCTGCCTGCATGGAACTCACCTCAGCTTAGTGTGTTCCAGCCGGAGCTCCAGTTTCTTAGACACCATGTCCCGGACCTGGCTGTAGGGGAGTCCAGGCTGAGTCTCCATGACTACCGTATACTTGTAGTGCACCTTGAGTGTGTAGGGCATGGGAACGCTGAGCTTCACTTCCTGAGTAGGGAGGAAGCAAAGCGAACTCCTGAGTGTCTGAGGCTTTCTTCAACATCCTGTATGACTGAGGCTTGGTGATTTGGCACAGGGGGTACCCCATGCAGCAGGGGAGAGGCCAATAAGTAACTGGTTTCATAGTAGCCAAAAGGGCCTTCAGAGGTCCTTTAGCCCAACCCTTGCTTGGACAGGAATTCCTACTGAGCAAGATCTGGCCCACTAGCTTGGGTAGTAGGAAGTGTGTACATGATAGTGGACGAGGCTGTCAAGAGGGTCCCTAGCCCATAGACCCTGTAAGGTAGCAACTGGTTCGACCCTTCCATTGGGGCTCTTCCTATAACCCAGACAGACAGTCTGTGGTTGATAGCCCAAGCCATCCCATCTTCTACCACTTGAAACAGTACGAGGGAAAAATGTTACCTTAGGCTCTTCTTTTTGTTTCTGACCTGAATGGAAAAAGTAGGGAGTAAAACAAAAGAAGATGGTGAATGAACACGCTTGGCCAGCCCCTGCTACACACAGATGAAACCTCTTCAAATAGGGCCCCCCAACCTCTTACCCTTTAATCTGTGGGGCAATTATTAACCTTAGTAAACTGTGGGGAAGTCTCACCTTGGGGAAGCATGAAGGTCATGAACACATGAACAAACTCAGTCTCTGCTTCTAGGGAGCCTATAGGTAATTATCAAAGGACCAGCGTATCCTCACCAATCCACGAGGTTAGCAGGGATTCCAAAGGTCAGTTAAACCCACAGGATCCAAAGCAATGAAAATCAGGAGTGCAAGGTGAGCCAGAGGCCACAGGAAGAACTATTAGAACCACTGATCCTCATCTTATTCTTTATTTTTGTGTATGTTTCCTAAAGTTTATTAATTTAATTAATATATTAATCTAATATAATGGATGTAAGAGAAGCATGCACGAAGATATTTACCATAGGGGGTACATGACAGAAAAGACCACTGATCTCAAACCTAGCTGATCATTACAATCACATGGGAAGTTTTTTTTCTAAAATACAAATTCCTGAGCCCCATTCCAGTCCTAAAAAATCAGAGCCCGAAGCCTAGGACCCTGTATTCACAAAATCTTCCTAGGTTTATATGTGATCCTTGATGAGCCTCTACACAAAAGATAACAACAAAAAAGCTGTCAAGGACATTGAGCAGGAGCAATGGGAGAGATTTGAATATGGAATATGCATTATATAATGTTATCATACGAATGTTTAGTGTCCTAGATACTGTGATTCTATTGTGATTATGCAGGAGACTGTGTTTTTGCGGCTGTGTAGGGTGAAGTGTCACGAGTCTGTAACTTTTTTTCAACTGGCTCGGGGGAAAAAAATAGAATGGAGCAGGGCGAGTTCATGGTGCAAAATGTTAACAATTGGTGAGTTTAAGTGAAAGATATTCTGATGTTTATTGTATTCTACTGTCAACTTTTCTGTAGGTTGGACATTTTTGAAAATAAAAATGGGGGAAGGGCATGCCAAGTGATTCTGATGATCAGGCGTGTGTGGCAGTCACTGATCTAGAATCCGGCCGGCCACTCACTCTGTGCGTCTCTACCAAGCACTTATCCAGAATCGGCTTCAAGTGCGTACGCGATAAAAAGCCCATCACTTCCCAAGCCAGCCCTCTCCACACTAGGAAACAGCCTTTCGGAGAGAACGTTTCCGTTTCACATCTGCCCATTGGTTCTCTGTTCAGTCTCAGGGCTCCACAGAGCAATTTCTTTTCCAGATACAGTGCCTCAGACATTGGAAAACAGCCACTCCATGCCCCCCTGAGGTAAGCATGTATAGTTACTTCAATTTTTCTTCCTGAGATATGGTTTTAGTAACGATCAAGGGGTTTGGTGACTACATGAGTCACTCGAACCAGCTGCATTCACCCAAGCCCTGCGAGTGTTCTGCAGAAGGCAGGGAGACAGGGCACTGATTTCATGTTTGGGGTGGGTGGGTGGTGCAGGAAAGGAGGGTTCTGGGGTTGCGTGGTCATTAGCTGAGTGGCATATTGGGAGAAGAAGAAACCAGAATTTCCTGGAAGGCAGGGAGAGGAACTCAGGAAACAGCCTGGCATGCTCCTGTGCCCAGACCTAGGGTGTTGCTCCAGGACCACTCACCTGGTGACAGCTGTGGTCTTCCAGGGGCTTTGGAACTAGGAGGAGCTGGGATGTCGGACTCCGGAGAGCTTTCCTCCTGAAGGCAACAGGGAGTGATGGTCAGAACCTTCATTCAAAGTTCCCAGGCAGGGGTGGATGTGGGGAGACGCCCCTACAGAGACCCCATGAAAAGGAGCCAGATGCAAATAACTCCCTAAAAGTTGGAATGGTAGTGACATTTGGGGAAGACGAAGGAAATGCTGGCCAAAAGAGGAGGCAAGGTTGGCCTGATGAAAATGAAAATCATAGTAGAAAGAAGAATCCGAACCCGCTAAAAGGCCCTTGCCGCTTTAGCATCACTTTCAGCCACATTGGAAATCCACTGGACATGGGGGAGGACTGAGCTCTTGTCTCCGCGGCAGAGGGCATTGAGAAAGGAAAAATTCCACTTCTCGTTTGCACGGCATTTGAAGCTTTTCAAAGCATCTGGATAGGGTGACTCTGACCAGGGAGGGCTGAGCTCGTATACAACTGGTTACACAGTCTAGAGAGAGACAGGCCCCACTGCCATTGAGTCACTTACAGGGATGCTCAGATCTGATAAAGACAGCTCTCTAGGCCTGGCAGAGGGACAGAACTTTTGAAGTGTGAGGAAGGGAGTAGCAGCAGTTTAGAAGCAGTGGCTGGCAAGGCCCACTCTGATTCAAAGCTCTAAGGCAGATCTCATTTTATTATTTTTATTTGTATAGAGGTGGCATCTCTCTATTTTGTCCAGGCTGGTCTCGAACTCCTGAGTTCAAGTGATCCTCTCACCTCAGCCTCCCAAAGTGCTAGGATTACAGGCATGAGCAACTGCACCTGGCCTCATTTTATTTCTAATGGCATTGTACCAGCCAACACATTGACTATCCTTCCAGGTGAAGCAGACACACCTGGGAAGACCTAACCCCCTCATATACTGTAGGCTTTGCTTCCCAAGTCACTTCTGACCAGGAAGAGTCACAGAGGTGGGAGGCCCAATGGGACCTACAGATGCCTCCAACTTAGCACACCTGGGCTTTTTTCCCCTCATTCCCAGGTTCAGCTCTGGGTAGCTGGTGCCATCTCAAGGCGGGCTCAAGACTAGTGTGTCTTTCTCCAGGGGTCCCGACAGTACCTCTTTTACACTGCTCTTCTGCCCTCCAGGGAGAGATCTCTAAATGGTGAGAGGACATGGGTCAGGCCTTGGCATCACATTACCTGGGGCTGCTGCTGAGGGTGGATCCGCAGCTCAACTGGTTCAAGGTAGTTGCAGGGAACAAGCCCCTTCTGCAGTGCAGCACCACAGAATCAGAAAGGAAAGAATAAAGATGTGCTCATCAGTACCCACACCACAGAACAGCCCAGAGTCCTGGGGAAGGGAGGACGAACAGACAAAAGAACTTGATCGGTCTGCAAAGAAGGCAGCAGATACCGCTCCACAGAAAGACTGCATTTGCTGCCAGGATCCCACACCCATCGCACCACCCCCGATCCTCTGCATACCTGCCCGTTGAACATGACCGTGGCCCAGTTATCATTGCCCTTCTTCAAGACAAAGACAATGTTCCCTGGCATGACCTGGAGCTCTTCTTGTGTCTCAGGCACAAACCCAAACAGCACACGGTGAGCCTCCCCTTCCAGAGCCCTGCAGAGGGTAGACACCAGATCCAGCCCACATCCCCTCACACAGTGCCACGGCACAAACACAGTGAACTTGGAGCCAGGGACTTGGCTCCAGCCTGGCTGTAACTCCACATCTAACTGCAACTGCCGAGGTGACGCTGAGCCTGCCTGGGCTCCCGAGAGGTCTCGGTAAGAAAGCGGTGTACACCTGCTCATCACCATATATGCAGAGGGACAAGAATGAAAGCAAAAACCCCACACACTAGTGAGGACTTACAATCCTTGCCCTCCCTTCCCCTCTGAGGAGGAAGGTCCCTCGCTGGGTCATCTTGGCCAGCTCCCAAGGCTGGGCTGGGGTGGATCAGGTGACTGTGGTCAGGGCAACAGCACAAAGCAGAAGTCAGGTGAGAGCCAGCTGGGCCAGAAAGACCAGTGGGAGAGGAGGAAGGAGAAACCACCTAGAGCCAGTGTTGGGCCAGGGTAGGGAGATGGTGAGCAGGGTAGGTGACAGGGAGCGTGAGGGAGGCACATAGAGGGCTCTGAGACTGCCCAGCTGCTGTGGTGCAGTGTCGGTTCCCTTAAGTCTGACTTCATGCTTTTAGGCTCTGAGGCTCTGATTGGCGTCACTTTGGAACGTGTGGTTGAGAGGCTGGTGTTCAGGTTTCAGGCTTCCCTCCCTTTACTCCCCACTCTGTTACTTTCCCCTCAGCCCTTCCTTGTTTCCAGACATGGTGTCTATTCCTGTAGGGAATACAGGCCCTTGCAGCTGACAGTGAGCTTAGGAATGAGCTCATCCAGCCCCTCATTTTTGTAGTTGCTTTGGTACTTTTGTCACTTTTTAGTTTTATTTTTATTTTTTGAGATGGAATCTTGGTCTGTTGCACCGGCTGGAGTGCAGTGACGTGATCTTGGCTCACTGCAACCTCCACCTCCCAGGTGCAAGTGAGTCTCCTGCCTCAGCCTCCCAAGTAGCTGGGATTACAGGCATGCGTCACCACGCTCAGCTAATTTTTGTATTTTTAGTAGAGATGGGGTTTTGCCACATTGGCCCGGCTGGTCTCGAACTCCTGATCTCAAGTGATCCGCCCACCCCGGTCTCCCAAAGTGCTGGGATTACAGGCATGAGCCACCACGCCTGGCCAATCACTTTTTAAAACCTCCTTTTTGGGTGGGAGGACCAGGCTTGCTTCATCGCTTCGAGAGAATTCTTAAGAAAGCTGTAGGTTATGACACCCTTTGTTTTTCATCTTACAGAAGAAGGACTTCCTTTTCTTGAGTCCTTCCTCTTTACTTCTTCAGAAAGCATGTGCCGATAGGGAGTGGAAAACGCCTACACAGGAAAAAGGATGCCATTCTACATTCCTGACTCCGGAGAGCTCTGGCCTGCCCCCGTCAGAAGGGACCGCAGCCAATGCGAAACTGATCTCCAATGTGAGGTCAGCATCTTCGTCCCCAGGGTAGCTATGTTCCACAGGACACCACTGCCCCTCAGCAACAACCCCTTGCCATGTGGGTGGCTGTGCACGTGGACAGAGGGCCATTGGGAACCATGTAGCTGCAGCCAGGCCCTGATGGCCAGCTCCACCACGGTCAAGACTCCCATCCCCACATGTCATTCCTTTCTAGCCTGACATTCTAGAAGACATTCTTCTAAACATTCCTTTCAAGCCTGACATTCTAGAAGAAACCTGGCATTCTAGAAAATTCCACAGGATTTAGACTCTGACCCCAGCTTCATCTTCTTCCCTCCCTCTCTTGCCATCAGTTCAGGCTTGGAGCTTAGATATTCTGCATATGGATTTAAATCTAACTTACCTGAAGATCTCTGGGGTTTTCGGTCTGGGTGGAGGCTCAGCTGCCTATTGAATATTCAGGAGAAGTGAAAATAGAAAAGGCAATGAGGGAAAGCAGGGGAGAGACAACAAATGGCTAATGGTAATTTGAGCATTCTTCCAGACCAGAACATCAAATAACGCATTTCTGACTGATGGGAACACTGTCTAGGAAGAGGGTACAGTCACCCTGACTAAACCCTGAGAAATAACACCTCCCACCAGCTCCCCAGGTGTAGATTTCACTAGCACAGCAATTCATTTTGAGCCAGAGCTAGTTTCTGGAGGTTAGCAGTCACACAGCAACATGGTGTCACAAGAATGCTTTGACCTTGAGTTCTGTCCTTTTCCCAGGAGAGTTTCCAGAAGCTCTGTTCTGTAATTAATGTCTACTATGTCACATGACACTTCTGAGTATTTTTAAATTAAATTAATTTTTTTTTTTTTTTTGAGGTGGAGTTTCACTCTGTCGCCCAGGCTGGAGTGCAGTGGTATGATCTTGGCTCACTGCAACTTCTGCCTCCCTCGTTCAAGTGATTCTCCTGCCTCAGCATCCCATGTTGCTGGAATTACAGGCATGTGCCACCACACCCTGCTAATTTTTGTATTTTTAGTAGGGATGGGAGTTTCACCATGTTGGCCAGGCTGGTCTGGAATTCCTGGCCTCAAGTGATCTGCTCATCTCAACCTCTCAAAATGGTGGGATTACAGGCGTAAGCCACTGCGCCTGGCCACTTTTGAGTATTTAAAATTGACACAGGATTCCACTGACTGGGCAAGAATCACCTCCCCTGTTCTACACTGAATACCATGGGATCCAGTGACCTGGGCTGCGTTCCCTTCATGGCCTCTGGCTGAACTGAAGCTCAAGGGACTTCAGCAAGGCTTTCATCAGCTTTATTGTGAAGAAAGAGATCAAGGAATCTAGATCTGGAACATACCTGTCCCTGCTCAGAAAACCCGCCCTCTGCTGGTGCTGGCCAGCGCTCTTCACCATCACAGTTTCATTGCCACAGAGTTCCTATTTTCCTCAATGTGTTTTCCCCTCTTCCCTTCACAAGGAATCTCTGTCTGCATTTCTAGATCCACTGTCATCCAGTTCATCTGAGCCCACCTCTCCAAGCCCAGTTGGGACAGAAAAAGGGTTCACTCTCAGCGCCCTGCCTGTGTTCCCGAAGGAAACGCCTGCACATGAGCAGATGGGTAGAGCCAGGAGAGCCCAAACCTCAGACCCAGGCCCCACAAGGTTCCCCACTTGCCCCAGTACTCAAGAAGAGGCTTTGTTAACAAGCCTTCCATAGCTTGTGTTTCACCTTCCTGAGAGAATGGTTGAGGCTTCAGAGAGAGTACCCGCAGATCTCTTTAGAGACGTGAAGACTGGCATTTGTGGGGAAGCAGGAGAGTTAGCTTCAGAGGACTTGGGGTGAAGCCTGACACTGCCTTATTTCCTTACCAGCCATGGAACCCAGGACTGAGAGAGGGCAGGCAGATCCTTCAGCTGCACTGAGAGCCACTTGAAGGAGCCCTTTCAATAAGGCAGCTCAGCACACCTAGTCTCTAGAATCGAATGCTTCACAGAAAGCTCTTGAGACCTAGGTCCATGGAGAAGGTCAGGATTGCCTCACCTGTGGTTGCAGAGGGGCAAACCCAGAGAAACTGTCCTGATCCACTACAGACGCCACAACCTGAAATCAAGGACAGGAGGGTGTGAGGCTCTGCCAGCACGGTTTCCATTCTTCTGGGTCTCCCTCCTTGCTCATGCCCTAGACCAGTTCTCACTTGAGTCTGGTTTCAGATGTGGACAGTAACTAAGGATTAGATTCCTGATCCTTTGGTTTAGGATTTCAGCAACTGAGGAAACAAGTATTCACCCCACCCCTGCTAACAGGGGCTTGCTTTCTCCTCTCTTAAAACAAATGTTTTTATTGAGGTGCAATTTGTATAACATCAAATTATCCTTTTTTTTTTTTTTTTTTTTTGAGACGGAGTCATGCTCTGTTGCCCAGGCTGGAGTGCAGTGGCGCAACCTCAGCTCACTGCAGCCTCCGCCTTCCAGGTTCAAGTGATTCTCCTGCCTCAGCCTCCCGAGTAGCTGAGATTACAGGTGCCTGCCACCACGCCTGGCTAATTTTTGTATTTTTAGTAGAGATGGGTTTTCGCCATGTTGGCCAGGCTGGTCTCATACTCCTGACCTCCGGTGATCCACCCATCTCAGCCTCCCAAAGTGCTGGGATTATAGGCATGAGCCACCACGCCTAGCCCAAATTAATCATTTTAAAGTGAATGATTCAGTGGCATTTATCGCATTCGCAATGCTGTGCAACCACCGCTTCTATCTAATTCCAAAACATTTTCATCATCCCGGAAGAAAACGCCGTACCTATTAAGCGGTGTGTCCACACCCCGCTTTCCCCTAAACTGGCAACAACCAGTTTGCTGTCTGTGACTGACTTGAGCTCTCTTCTTCTCTGAGTTTTGAAAATCAGATTTAAAGCTAGCTTTATTCACAGATATGCTTAAACTATAGATAATTTTCATCATTCGTTCATATAACAAAACCTTTTTGCTGAGAGCTGTTATGTGTCTTAGCACTGTACCAGGCTGTGAGGACTCAGTGGTGATCAAGCAGACATGGTCTCTGCCCTCTCAGTGCTTAGAGGCTGCACAAGGTATTTCATATAAATGGAATTGTACAACATGTGGCCTTTTGTATCTGGCTTCCTTCGCATAGCATGATGTTTTCAAGGTCCATCCTTGTTGTATCATGAATCATCATTTTTATGGCTGCGTAGTATTCTGTTGCATGGATATATCATATTTTGATTATCCATTCATCAGTTGATAGATATTTGAAGTGCTTCCATTCACCCAGGCTTTCTTGACCTCTGCTACTATGCTAGACCCAGCTACCCGACCACTGCGCAACTTTAGCACTATGAATGTGTCAAAGTCAAATGTGGTTTTGGAAGGGCACTGCTGACTCACTTCAGACCATGTCTGAAACAATTTAAGACTTGGATTTATTATTATTATTATTTTGAGATGGAGTTTCGCTCTTGTTGCCCAGGCTGGAGTGCAATGGCGTGATCTCAGCTCACTGCAACCTCTGCCACCCGGGTTCAAGCCATTCTCCTGCCTCAGCCTCCCAAGTAGCTGGGACTACAGGCATGCACTGCAGCACCTGGCTAATTTTGTATTTTTAGTAGAGACGGCGTTTCACCATGTTGACCAGCCTGGTCTTGATCTCCTGACCTCGTGATTCACCTGCCTTGGCCTCCCAAAGTGCTGGGATTACAGGTGTGAGCCACCGTGCCCGGCCAAGACCTGGATTTAGAAGAAGTCCAATTTAAGACATAGTCTAAACATAGGGCTGTGGAAGTGGGGAAAGACTCCTCAGCCCACTAACACGTGAACTACAAGGAGCATTAATCCAAGAGGATCCCATGCTGATCTCTTTCCCCAACATGTTCTTTCCATATTTATTTTTATTTTTTAGAAACAGAGTCTCACTCTGTTGCCCAGGCTAGAGTACAGTGGTGCAATCATAGTTCACTATAACCTTGAACTCCTGGGCTCAAGCAACCCTTTCGCCTCAGCCTCTCCACTAGCTAGGCTGGTCTCAAACTCCTGGCCACAAGTGATCCTCCCACTTCAGCCTCCCAAAGTGCTGGGATTATAGGCATGAGCCACCCTGCCCAGCCCTCTCTTCACATTTAGTGAGCTCCTCATGGCTGTGTTTTCCCTCCACTGGCTCAGTCCCCAAGACTCAGCATCCTGTGGGGAACCCTGTGGCTCTCACCGAGGGTCACACTGGAAGGGAGGAATGGGAGCAGCTTGGAGAAAATAAACTAGAAGTGGTTGCCTATCTTTCAGCCAAACCTCTGTCCTATAAACAAGTCTCTTGTTGCCATCCCAGGAACAGAGCCACAAGGAGGCTGCCCTCTTCTCAAGAGTCCCTCCCACCTTGCTCCACATGGCCCAGGCCACAGGAGACTCGGGGGAAGCTGAGCAATCCCACCTACCGTCGCCTTGCCTAGGTAATCCTTCTTGGCCAGCTGAGCCACTTGTCTCTCATTTGGTCGAAACAGCCTGCCCACAGGGATCACCACTGGCTCGTACAGCTTCTGCTTCTGTAACACAGAAAACAGCATTTCCTTATCTGAAAATGGGGATGACGATGCTTGTCCTGCCTCCCTCAGCGAATAGATGCAAGAATTTATAGAGATAACCACATGGAAGCACTTTTTCCAAATGAGTGTTGTCATTACTGTAGGGTGTTCAGGTAGGAACCCTTGGTTTGAATACCACCTTCTGCTGCGAGGCCACATGGCCATTGTTTGCTGCTATATGTCCAGCACCCTCTTTTCCCAGAGGAACTGCTCCTCTCCCTCTCTGTGTGGTGTCCGTGGGGTTCTCTAATGGTGTAGACGCCACCACCGTGACAAGGCTGGCCCGGGATTAAGCGAGGCTCATGACAGTGTTCCCTTGGATGAGTGTTTGCTGACGAGGATAGGCATATAAAGACTGACTTGAGTCCTCTTCTCTGTGTTTTAAAAATCAGATTTAAAGCTAGCCTTATTCACAAATATGCTTGAACGATGGATAATTTTTATCACTCATTCACATAATCAAAACATTTTTTGGGCAGGTGTGGTGGCTCACGCCTATAATTCCTGCACTTTGGGAGGCCAAGGTGGGCAGATCACCTGAGGTCAGCAGTTCGAGATCTGCGTGGCCAACATGGCAAAACCCCATCTCTATTAAAAATACAAAAATTGGCCAGGCATGGCGGCATGCGCCTGTAATCCCAGCTACTTAGGAGGCTGAGACAGGAGAATTGCTTGAACCCAGGAGGCGGAGGCTGCAGTGAGCCGAGATCATACCACTGCACTCCATGCTGGGCAACAGAGTGAGACTCCATCTCAAAACAAAACAAAACAAAACAGAACATTTTTGCTGAGAGCTGTTACGTGCCTAGTATTGTGCCAGGCTGTGAGGACTCAGTGGTGATCCAGCAGACATGGTGTCTGCCCTCTCAGTGCTTACAGTCTGTGCAGCACCACTCCAGCATCCAGTATCCCGTTCTGCATTGCCCAGGAGCCCCACTGTGAGGGCGGTGTGCTGCCAGGCCTCTGCCATCCCATACTCTAGGCCTCAGGTTCTCAGCACAGATTCAAGATCTTAAGTGGAACTATACCCTAACATCTGTGTTACCCAGACTCACAGAAAGTAAAAGCACCACTTTTATGGCTTCTCAATGGCATGTCCTCTGAGACAAATGAGAATGCAGTGAAATCCTCTCCCCACCTGCATCACCAATACGCTTACCCAGACACACTCCATGGCCTTGTCGATTTTGGAATGTCTGGGCTCAGACTTCATGCTCGTGGCCAATGCTAACTGTTCTTCAGCTTTTTTCCATTCCTCCTTCTTGGCATACATGAAAGCAATGTTATATAACACCTAGAAAAGTACAGACCGCAACATAAAATTTAAGACTACTACAAATCGAGCCAGGGAAGGGCTCACACGTGTACTCCGGGAGTGTTGCTGGTAGCCTTTCTCCCTTCCTCAGCTCTCCTGGGAATATCTAAAATATAGTGCAGTTAGGCTTGCCATTGAGGTACATCAAACACAAACATGGTGTTAAGAAAACACCATGGAATGCATAAATGCAACATCATGTGTACTCTTCTAACAACCAAATAGGTCAGGAACGGACAAGAACTATTGTATACAGTGTGTTCAAACCAGTTAAAAAAAGAAGAATTGTTGTGCTGTTTTAGTGTGAGTTGCTTTAGTGAAAGAGTGACTTGCTCAAGGCCCCTTCTAGAGGCAGACACAGGGTTGGGAATAAAATACAGGTGTGTGGCCTTCCAGTCCAGCTCCTGCCACTGCGCCTAGGCTTAAACACTGGACAGGTACAGGGCAGGAAGAGGGATCAAGATGCAACCTCCTGTACCAGCACCAGCAGAACCTGGCCCAGACCATGTGAGTAAAAGACTGATGTAGCAACGCAGGCCAGGCACAGTGGCTCACACCTGTAATCCCAGCACTTTGGGAGGCCAAGACGGGTGAATCACTTGAGGTCAGGAATTCAAGATCAGCCTAGTCAACACAGAGAAACCATGTCTCTACCAAAAATACAAAAATTAGCTGGGCATGGTGGCAGGCACCTGTAATTCCAGCTTCTTGGGAGGCTGAAGCAGGAGAATTGCTTGAACCCAGAAGACAGAGGTTAGCACAGAAGCCAGGGGCACCTTCGCCTGGGGTGGGGAGGGAATGGTAAATGCAACAGTAGTCATACTTTTCCAGGTGTTGAGTTGGGCTGTGGTTCTTGAGTGTTTATTATTATGCTTCACAATAGACACACAGAATCAAATAATCGTTTGGATGCATTACCAAGATCTAAAAAAATGGCTTGACTGAAAGAAATGTTTTAAATAGGACATATGGAAATGAGGGGGTGTGACATTTGAGGCTAGATGATAAAAGACATTGACACTCTGTCTTGCCCTTGGGTCACTTGCTCTTAGAGGCGCCAGCTGCCATGTCATGACAAGACTTTAGGCAACCCTAGAGAGAAGTTCATGTAGCGACAAACTTAAGCCTCCTGCCAACAACGACGTGAACATGCCAAACTCAGACAGGTGGCAGGATTGGTGTTTCTGTGGCTTTAGCGGCTGGTGCTGAATGGTGGGGGCCAGGATGAACCCCAGAAGTGGAATCTGGACTCCTTTCAGGCCTATTTCTGAGAGTCAGTGAGCTACTGCCTTCTGAATTCATTGGCTTCTCCAGCCCACTCCTGACCTTGTGTGCAGAAAGAAAGAACTCAGATCATTTGAAACTTCCTATTTGGTTCTCAGCCACCTTCTCTTAAGACGTTTTCCTGCAATCAGTTTTTATGAACTGATGATGAGAATAACCTTGACACTCTTCAAAAATAATAATGTGATTCTCAGAAGCCAGGATCATACCACATCAGGAAGAGAAGGATTATAAGTAGGGAAATGACTAGAAGGTCCCATGTGACAAAGAAGGCCTTAGACCCTGAAAAGTTCAGCTTTACTTGCAGAGAGGGTCACTCAGTCAGTATTTTCTGTCCTCCCAGAGCCATTTTAACCCCAGCTCCAGGGGAAACATTCCTCCCACGGAATTGTACTTTGATGCTGCTGTGACATAATCCTTTTTCTAGAGCCACTTGTCCCCCAACTTTTTAATCTGTATAAGTGGCTGTCATTGGCTTATCGTCAATGTCTGGAGGAATTTTAGTTGTCACATTGGATGGGGAATGGTGGTGGCAGTGCTACTAGCATCTAAACGCTAGAGATGCTGTCAAAGTTCCCACAATGCACAGGAGGCACCACAACCCCTCTCGCTTCCACCACAATACAAGATTGTCTGGTCCAACGCATTAACAGAGCTACGACTAAGAAACCCTACTGGAGAAGCTGGTCAAATGGCAGCCAATTCCCACTGCAAAGCCCCATCTTCCCACACTGTGAGAAGTGAAGTTAGTTGCTAGCTTGCTGCAGAGTAGAGGTGGGGCCACATGTCCCCAGAGGCCGAGGGTGGCTACAGACTCTATTATTAGCCCCGAGCGACCCTGGGAACACTTGACTTCTTGTGCCTGAGAAACTAAAGCAAGGGGACTTTTGTTAGTGATTTTTCTAAAGAAAGGTCTGTGACATTTACAGGAATTTTGGTTTTCAAAACTGCTAGTATATATTTGGAAGTAGGAGGGGCGGGAAGGGCCAACTGGAAAAAGTAAATGAACCTGCAAAGTCAAAGCCAGTCATGTCTCTCCCTTTGGATAACAGAGAAAAGAAGTTGTTCTGCAGAAATCTTTACCTAAATATGTGCCTTGAGCTGTTCTTTGAGCAAGAGGGGACAGATTTATTCCAAATGATCCTCACTCTCTCTTTAGGTATCAATCAAGTGCGTGGGGTAAAAACCATGGAGAGTTAAGAGTGTGGTCTATAAACCTGAGAACCGAGCAAGGTTCTGACAGGTCCTGCATGGACAATGAACTCATGATTTTGGATTTGCTAGCAAAATGCTGAACAAATAGCTTGTCAATCTGAATTGCTGAACAAAACATGCAAATTATCATGAATATTTTCACAAGCCAACACACTCACGTCCAGCCTCCCTTCAGAGAGCCCAGTGGGCTCATTTTTGCATGGTCCTTTGCGCTCCACATTAATAAAATGTATGCCCCCAGGTAACTGATGACAATGCCTTGATGAGCCTGAAATAATCCATCTCAGTCTTTTCTTCAAGGAAAATCTGAGTCTCAAGGCAGAGGAGGCAAAATGGCTTTTCCAAGCTCCTGAAGGTGTCACTGTGCATCTGAACTGTCAGCTGTCCATCCAGCCATGATCCCCGCCTGCCCAGGCCAGGCCCCGTTCTCCTTACCTCACAGGCAAACAGCTTGAACTGAAGGCCCAGGATCTTATAGTCTATCAGCTGGTTCCCTCGAAGCTGAATCAAGGCTTCTTTAAGGTCTTTGATAGCCAAATCATATCTGCAGGACAGAGGGAGAAAATACAGCAGTCTAGTGCATGGAGGAATAAATGCAGCATAAAATGTGAGTCTGTTTCTGCCTTCCCCATCTATTTCACTGGGACAAGAAGCCTTTCAGTTCCTTTTGACCCATTTAGTTTTCAGCTATCCTGAGCCCAAGTATTCTATAGAACTCCTTGGGAATGGTGCCCCACCCAGGGATGTGCCTCACAGCAACCCTGAGCGCCTCGTCTTGGACAGTCACAGGGAGTTTCTTCTCTGTTGACTGCATACAACTGTCACCTTTCTGACAGCCTAGCTTCTCACTTTCCAATGCAGCTCTCATTCTCTCTTGAGAGCTCCAAGCAGAGCCAGCACCTGCCCCCAGCCTGTGTCCCTACAGTGTTCAGAGCTGATTTGGAATACTGCTCACTCCTGGCTCCCACCATCAGGCCAGGCCAGCCTGGCACAGCTCAGAGGGGCCCCTTCTCACAGCTGCCACCATCACCCCCCTGCCCACTGCCTTCGCCCATGGCTTCTTTTGAGTTCAGCTTAGAGCTTGGTTTTGTGGTCTTGTTTCCTCATCGCCCCCACTTCTGCCTCCTCCCCACACTTTGGAAAAGAAAAAAACAACCACTTAAGCTATATAGTATTTCCTCCTTTTTTTTTGTTTGTTTTTGAGACAGGGTCTCACACTGTTGCCCAGGCTGGAGTGCAGTGGCAGGATTTCAGCTCACTGCAAGCTCCACCTCCCGGGTTCAAGTGATTCTCCTGCCTCAGCCACCTGAGTGGGACTGAGCTGGGACTACAGGTGAGCCCCACCACACCCGGCTAATTTTTTATATTTTAAGTAGAGACCAGGTTTCACCATGTTGGTCAGGCTGGTCTCAAACTCCTGACCTCAATTGATCTGCACGCCTTGGTCTCCCAAAAGTGCTAGAATTACAGGCATAAGCCACCATGCCCGGTCCCAGATAGTTTTTCTAATGCTGCTCCCACTGCCTTGTGCTGCTGGATCGGCGTGAAGCTGACTGGCTCAAGGTATATCAGGGCTGCTGTCCTGGGACTTGTAGCAGAGAATGGGAGCTGGCCACATCAATAGGACCCACAGGCATGTGGGTGGGACCTGGACACACACTCCTGAGGATGCTGGCCCGGGCCTTGACCATGGGCTCCACAGAAGCCCTGGTGGAAGGGAGCCATTGCTGGGCTATAGGGAGTGGGAGCAGCAGGCACAAGCTACCCAGCCTGGCTACCCTCAGCCTCCTGGCCTGGCAGGAACAAATTTGGCTGCCTGGTTGTGGCTCACACCTGGGCAACTGGACTGTAAGTCTGTAAGTCCCTAGTCCACCATCTGACCCAGAGCTGCCAACCTGGCTTCTCGTGGAGATAAGTCTGGAATGTGGACACGGGCTGGCAGGAATCCTCGAGAGGCAGTGTGGTGTAGTGAAGGGGCCAGGAGCCAGAGTCCAGATCCAACAGCTCTGCCACTAACTGGGGGACCCTAGCAAGTCACTTCCCTGGCCTGAAGTTCCACGCCAACATTATGGCAGCATATTGTATACAGGGACATGTTACATGCACAGAACATAACATATAGGGAGCTTGCCAGTATATGGATCCCATTTCTGGAGTCAAAGCCACCTGGACTTGAGTCTTGGCTCTGTCACTTACTGTCTGGTGAGAAAGGGCAAGTTACCTAACTTCCCTAAGTCTGTTTCCCCATCTTTAGAATAAGAAAATAACAACAGCATATACCTCACAGGGTCACTGTGAGAAATAAAGGAGATGAAGCATTTGGGTACTTCAGACAGTACCTGGCACACACAGTAATTTATTACTGTTGTTGTTGTTATTTTACTTTCTTTAGCTCTAACAGTCTACCAATTAATCCATACACCAGCCACTTATTACATGCTTACTTAAAGCTCCATGCCATATAAGCTATTATCAGGATATTTTAAAAATACATGATGTAGAAGCTGGAACGCTGATCTCATGGAAGTTTAGAGCTGAGCACAAGGGCTGGTTGGTCAAGACGATCATAAGGAATGGGTGCCAGTGTGACTGGGGGAGAAGCCATCACTGTTAAGGTTGAGGTAAGTCACACAGCGGCAGCAGTGGCTATGCGGGAAATAAGAGAAGAGAGCTTGGGTGTGAAATAGGAAGCTGGCTTTCTCTAGTATCCCTGTTAATAAAGATGATTGTAAAACCTACTAAATGCATGCAGGCCATTCTTTAAGTAGCAATGGGCCTTTCATGTCTTTTCCACGCATCTTTCTGGGCTCCTGGAAAGATGAATAAGGTACCCAGAAGTACCCCAGAAGTCAGGTTCCTCTTTCTAAGCCAGAAGGTGGGGTAACTAGCTTCAATTCACTGAGCCACTGAGCCTCTTCCACCGTGAAGGGGACAGACAGAAGCAGAGGTTCCCTGTTCCCTGGCAGCTGCCATTTCCACTGTGTTCTATTGCCTGTTTGGGAGCTCGCTGAAGGTCTCAGAGGGCACACACTTTACATGCCGGCAGCATTAACCTACCAACGCGCCTTCCTCCCTGCTGAGCTGGCTAAGCAGATGGAGTTCAGCTGGGAAGTGACACCACCTGGGTCTATCTGGCATTGCATGGGCCCAGCAAAATCCTCCTAATAATTCCCTAGCCCATCAAGATGTCTGCAGAGGCCCAGTGCAATGGCTCACACCTGTAATCCCAGCACTTTGGGAGGCTGGGGCAGGCGGATCACCTGAGGTCAGGAGTTTGAGACCAGCCTGGCCAACATGGTGAAACCCCCATCCCTACTAAAAATACTAAAAAATTAGCTGGGTGTGGTGGTGCGTGCCTATAGTCTCAGCTACTCAGGAGGCTGAGGCAGGAGAATCACTTGAACCCAGGAGGCAGAGGTTGAAATGAGCCAAAATCATGCCACTGTACTCCAACCTGGTTGACAGAGTGACACTCTGACTGGAAAAAAAAAAAAAAGGTGTCTACAGATTTGGGCCTGGTGGGAGAGAGAGAAAGAACTGACAAGTTATTCAGAGCGTTTGCTTTGTTTTAAAGACAGCATGGATCCGCCTGGGCAATATGGTGAAACCCTATCTCACTAAAAGTACAAAAAATTAGCCAGGCATGGTGGTACGTGCCTGTAGTCCCAGCTACTCAGGAAGCTGAGGTTGGAGAATCACCTGAGCCCAGGAAGTCAAGACTGCAGTGAGACGCGATTGCACCACTCCACTCCAGCCTGGACGACAGAATGAAATCCTGTCTCAAAAAAAAAAAAAAAAGAAAAGAAAAGAAAAGAAAGAAAACCCAACAACAAAAAAAACAGGGTGGGGCCAGGGGCTGAGGCTTAAGCCTGCAGTTCCAGTTACTCCGCCAGAGGCTGGGGCAGGAGGATCACTTGAGCCCAGGAGTTTGAGGCCAGCCGGGACAATATAGTGAGACCCCTTCTCTATAAAAAAGATAACTTATTTTATTTATTAATTTTGTTATAGAGACGAGGTCTCACTATGTTGCCCAGGCTGGTCTCGAACTCCTGGGTCCAAGCAATCCTCCCACCTCAGCCTCCCAAAGTACCAAGACTGCAAGTGTGAGCCACTGCACAGGGCCTAACAGGGAGGGGGCATCCTTGCTCAGTGTCGTTTTTAAACATGTCTCTGAAAGCATCGGCCTGCTTCCCAGCCCCCTCCCTCCCTGCTGCAAGGTTCTCTTCGGCCTTTCCACTTGTTTACCCAGAGCTGCAGCCCTGAAGGGGGTTCTGCTTTGACACACAGCTCTTTTCCCACTGTACAGGGTTGCGATAAGCTCAGTACGAGAATCCCAAAATAGCACTCAGCGCTGTGTGCCAGTGACCCGTGCTGCAGCAGCCCCTGCCTCCCTCTAGCCCTTCTTCAGTGGTTCTCTTTGGGGCCATTTAGAAGCATCCCCCAGGAGGCAGCCAAGGTGCTGGCAGCTTCCTGCTGGGCTCTGCTGGGCTGGGCGTGGGTGCTTTCTTCACACTCACACTTCAGTGACACCCCGTGGGGCACCTTGACTGCACCCAAAGCCCCCTCTCCTCCCAGGCAGGGTACCAACAGCTGAAGCAGCAACCTTGCCATAGCTTTTCACGAGCTCCAGGCTTGAGAGAGTTTATAATCCCCATTTCTGTAATACTCCTGGGAGGTTTCTTAGGAACCGCTGAAGTGAACTGCTTGTTCTCGTGCTGCCAGTGCCCCATGCGTCCAGAGTCCGCAGCTCATACACCTGCACCCAGGATAATGGAATCTCAGCAAGCTGAAAGAACGTCCAAACGTCAGACACCTTTGGGATGCTGCAGTGGCTGCTGTGACAGAGGTTTGGGCCCACTCCCTTTCCTGTTTCCAAGTCAGCAGGGAGAAGGCTTTGCTATGGAGCCTCATTAAGCCAGCTCCATGGAATGGGTCTCACCCTTATTGTCATGCCCTAGGATTCATAAGGCACAGGATCTGAACGACAGCTTTGAGCCCCTGTGCCTTTCAGATGACAAGCTGGGCCAGAGAAGCGAGACAACTTGGCCGTGGTCATCACGGAGACTCCGCCTGCCTTTTCAGAAATGTGCTCTAACTTTGTTCTGTTGAAACTTCATAATGACGGAAGAGCAATACAAAAACATATGAAAGTGGGGAAAATAGAGGGAAATAGTGAGGGGAAAAACCTCCATCCATAACATTATCAGCCTTAAACAATTGCCTTTTGTAATCTGAGGGAATTCCTTTTTTCTTTTTTTCCAGACAGAATCTTGCTCTGTTGCCCAGGCTGGAGTGCAGTGGTGTCTTCTCAGTTCACTGTAACATCTCCCTGCCAGGTCCAAGCTATTCTCCTGCCTCAGCCTCCCAAGTAGCTGGGATTACAGGCACCTGCTACCATGTGCTGCTAATTTTTTGCATTTTTAGTAGAGACAGGGTTTCGCTATGTTGGCCAGGCTGGTTTCGAACTCTTGACCTCAGGTGATCCACCCACCTTGGCCTCCCAAAGTGCTGAGATTACAGGTGTGAGCCACCGTGCCCAGCCAATCTGAAGGAATTTCTATCCCACACATTAAGAAGTAATTTCTCTAGCCCCCATCCCACTTACTTAAAACTACCTTTTACAGCACTTACCCTCTTCTGCCTTGCATTACAGTTACTGGTGTTCTTGACTTGTTTCCCCTTTTTAATTTATAAGTCCCTTGAAACAGACTATATTTTGCTCACTTTTATTTAATCCAACACTCATTTACTGAGTAACTACTATGCTGGATACTGAAATACAAGCATGAGTAAGTAAAGATTTCTTCTCTTACGAAATTTGTAGAGTAGTGGAGAAGACAAATATGTACAGGGAGCAAATATCTGTCATGGGCCAGACATGTTACAAAAGGAGGCTCAAAAGAGGGAGTGGGCACTGCCCTAGTAGTTGGGCGCGGCTGGGGCAAAGGCACGGAGGATGCATGAGTGGGCGGCAGCAACTGGACCACATAAGAACAGGCAAGGGAATTTGGCTTTTATCCTGTAGTCATGGAAGCCACTGGAAGTTCTCACACAGATTGCATTGTTTGTTTTTTTACAAGATCACTCTGGAATATGAATGGAGGGGACAAGAGCAGTGGCTGGGAAATCAGTTTGGAAGTGACTGCAGTAGTCCTGGTGAAAAATGAGGGTCTCAACCAAGGTAGTGCTAATGGGGATGGAGAGAAATAGGTGGATTTAAGAAACATTTAAGAGGTCAACCTGATGAGGTTTAGAGAAAGAGACATTCCCTGGATGGATCCCAGGTACAGATTCCATGATAAATGGAGGCCAGCTGTATGGGAGAGGGTGGCCTTGCCCAGGAATGGATTCTCAAGGTTCACATACAGACTTCTGTATCCATAGTCCCTGAATTGTACATAAACGAATGTGTGTGCTTGCGAGTGTATTTCTGGAAACACATTTTGCCATTTAACAACCACTGCTGCAGTCATAAAAGGGAAAAGAGTCAAGAACAGAACTTCAAAGGGAATACCAATGCCTAGGGAACTGCGCAAGAGAGCCGGCTTGAGGTTGAGATTAGTGCCTCATTTGTATAATTTCCTCATTGTTGAATTACAGATAAAACTTGGTAGATTTTTCTCTCAGGTGTAACTATTAATATTACCAATCACAGATTAATTGAATCCTGGGTCTTATTTTAGACCTTTCCAAGATCTTTCTAATCACTCAAAACCATAGCCTTCCAGATCCTGGGACTCACGGGCATTTTTTGGAGGAAATTCTTTCTGGGAGCGCTTCACTCTTTGCCAGTTAGTATCTCTTCTTTATAGGCTATTAGACCTCACTAAGGAATGGCCTTAGAGTTTGTGTTTTGAGATTTAAGATCGGCTGAACGATTTGTTGTTAGGCCTCTCTGCATATTCTATAGTCTGGAGATGGGGTAGCGGGGAGTGAGAAAGAGAAGGATGTTAAGAGAGGGGACAGGCAGTTAGACAGAGGCAAGATGTCAGTCAAGATAAACACCTGCTGTACCAAAATATCTCGTGTGTCCCATAAATATATACACCTACTGCATACCCAAAAACATTAAAATAAAAAAAAGTAAAATTAAAAAGTTTATAGTCATAATAAATATGTCACACTAAATATGGGGAGAAGAAAAAGCTAAATGCCTGGATATCTTCCCCCAATCCCAGGCTCTCTTTCTCTCCAGATTGCCATTGTGTCTGTGGTTTTTCTTTTAGAAAAGACTTCACTTCTACTTTCACTTCTTCAGGTAACTAACTGCATCTACATCTTTAAAGTCCTTTGAGCATCTTGTGGTTGCCCTTAGCAACTGCTGCATACACAGGTTTTACAGGCTGTTTCTGACCAAACCATAGGATCAAAACCTTTCAGGGTGGAAGAGAATCAGAGCCCAGCCTTCTGTTTGATATCTGGACATCGTCTACAACCTCCCTGCTGCTCCATCCACACCTGGCCTCACCCTCACCCCACCCACACCATGCACAGACCATTTTCACTGTCAGAAAGTTCTTTATTAGGTCAGGCTCGGTGACTCACGCCTGTAATCCCAGTACTTTGGGAGGCCGAGGTGGGTGGATCACAAGGTCAGGAGTTCGAGATCAGCCTGGCCAACATGGTGAAATCCCGTCTCTACTGAAAATACAAACATTAGCAGGACGTAGTGGCAGGCGCCTATAATCCCAGCTACCCGGGAAGCTGAGATAGGCGAATTGTTTGAACCTGGAAGGCAGAGGTTGCAGTGAGCCAAGATTGCACCACTGCACTCCAGCCTGGGCGACAGGGCGAAACTCCGTCTCAAAAAAAAAAAACAAAACAGTTCTTCATTAGCCTGATCCAAATTCCTCTTCCATAGAACTTATGCACACTGGTGGAACAATTTCTACAAAGGGTCGGTTTCCCATCCCCCCAAACATTTGAAATTATCACTTAGAATTTTTTTCCTTTGTTATTTGTTATGAGATATTTGTGCAGGATGAGAGGGAGGAGGAATTGAGATTAACTTTCATTTTGAATTTATTAATATTTGTACTAATTATTCCATGTTGACTATAAACAAACCTAAAAATACAGATAGGGTGATAGAAGAAAATGGATTTTCCTATAATCCCACTATCCAGAGAGAATTATTGATAACATTTTGGTCTATGGCCTTCCAGACTTTATTCTGTGATACAGAAATGGGACTATACTATACCCACTGTTTTGAAATCTGTTTTTAAATTTAACATCTGGCCGGGGACGGTGACTCACGCCTGTAATCCCAGCACTTTGGGAGGCTGAGGTGGGCAGATCACCTGAGGTCGGGAGTTCGAGACCAGCCTGACCAACATGGAGAAATCCCCTCTCTACTAAAAATACAAAATTAGCTGGGCATGGTGGCGCATGCCTGTAGTCCCAGCTACTCGGGAGGCTGAGGCAGGAGAATCGCTTGAGCCCGGGAGGCAGAGGCTGCAGTGAGCCGAGATCGCACCCTTGCACTCCAGCCTGGGCAACAAGAGTGAAACTCCGTCTAGGGGAAAAAAAAGAAAAAAAAAATTAATGTCTACTGCAAATGTTTTCTGTATAAGTACATATGCTACTTACTTACCTGTATTAATTTGTTCTTATAATGTTAATTTCTATTATTGTTTTTGCAGCTGAATTATATTTCCTCAAATGGATTAAACCAGGTTTTGAAAATGCATTTTGCTGGGATGAAGCCAGGTTTTGATGCAGTTTCATGATCATCCCCATTCTGTGACAGCTCAGCACCTCATAGGAGACCTCCATGGGTGACCCCATCAGGGACACTGGTGGGGTGCCACGCCAGCTGAGTATCAGGCCCGTGGTGGTTACCTAGACTCATTGTGCCTGTGACACAGCTGGTTTATAATCTGGCGGCAGACCTGCCTTCCCTCCCCAGTGAGAACTCCTGCCTCACCTGCTGATTTATTGCATAGCTGTCCCCAGAAGGGCCAGTCACATTTCCCAACAGAGGCTGGGAAGCTACTTCTCAAACACCAAGTCAGCAACACTGAGACCCCTTAGGTTTCTCTTTGAAATTCTCCCGTTGGTGCAACCTGGAACCACTTACTTTTCTGTTTGGTAGTAGAGCATCCCTCGTTGGAAGTAAGCCACTGCCAAATGCTTGTCTCGGTTAATGCTTTTGGTAAAGGCCTGAGGAGAGAAGGGTCCAGACATGGCCATGATGCAAGGCAGCGAGGAGGTGTGAGATGAGCCATGGCTCCCAGAACCCTAGCCCCCTGCGGTGCCCGGCTCTCCTGTCTGCCCTCCTCGGCACCTCGAGGCCCACCCTGTGCTCTCACGGTGCATTCCGCTTCACTCTCACATTTAGGAGCTCAAGTCTGGGACAGTGGTGTGCATCCCTTGCATCGTCATTCCAGTTCTGCTGTGGATCTACAAAACATTACTGGAGCCATACAGATTCCATCTGATTTCCGCTTTTGTTAGTTGTATATGGCCTAGAAAAGCTACACAAGGATCCAATAATGGCCAGGTGCGGTTGCTCACACCTGTAATCCCAGAACTTTGGGAGGCCAAGGCAGGTGGATCACTTCAGCCCAGGAGTTCAAGACCAACCTGGGCAAAATAGTGAGACCCCATCTCTATGAAAAATTTAAAAATTAGTCAGGTGTGGTGGCACATGCCTGTGGTCCCAGCTACTTGGGGGACTGAGGTGGGTCGATCGCTTGAGCCCAGGAGGCGGAGACTGCCGTGAGCTGTGACGGCACCACTGCACTCCAGCCTGGGAGGCAAAGTGAGGCACCCTGTCTCAAAAAAAAAAAAAAGAAATCCAATGATACAAATAAAGACAAAGTACACTATAAGGGTGCAGACACTAAGGGATTATCTCCAACAGAAATCTTAGATTAAAAAGGACTAAAGCATTTTCCCAAAGGAGCTCATCATTTTAAAAATGGACTTGATAATGTGAAGCACCTTCTTTGTAACTGTCTCTGACCTTCTCTGAGACTAGAATTCAGAATAGATAGTTTAGACATTTACCTGATACTAATAAAAAAATACATAATATCTATATTTAAAATATAGTGAGTTATATTTAAAGACCTCATTCCCGAGTTCCTTTTTCTTTAGTGTAACTTTCATTTCTATTATTGCTGTTTTAATAATATGATTAGATAGAAGCTTTGAGCTGGTAGACACTATGTTTAAATTAGTACTTTAAAATATTTGGTCTTCTGTCTTTCATTCTTATGAATTTAACTGCTGTTTGCTCTAATTTCTTTGAGTTCTCCTAGTTTGAGTAGAGTACAGTTTTACTGTGAAACAATGCAGCGAGACTGTATTGTGAAGTGAAGGTAGAGTTTTTAGAGGTGATAATGATGTGAAACATAAAGATACAATTCCTGTGCAACACAACGGAGCACCTTGTCCAGGAGAGTAGTAATAACTATTTATTGCTCCGTGGAAGATAAAAAAGATAGGGAAATAGGAGAAGCTTCTTTGCAAAATGAAGCATCATTAGCTGGGCTTGGTGGTGCATGCCTGTAATCCCAGCTACTTGGGAGGCTGAGGCAGGAGAATCGCCTGAACCAGGGAGGCGGAGGTTGCAGTGAGCTGAGATCGCACCACTGCACTCCAGCCTGGGTGACAGAGTGAGATCCATCTCAAAAAAAAGGAAAAAAGAAGAAAGAAAGAAAGAAAAAATGATATCTAATGTAATAATGAAATTCTAACCTTTGTTGCATTTCTTCTATTCCTGTGAATGTACTGAACATTCAGTTTAAATAAATAATAAAATTTAATGCAAGTGAAAATAATTAAAATATTATATACATTGTTATATTTGTTTACTATACAAACATTACATGAGTAGTATACAATTAAAATGATAACAAATAAGAATGCATATAAATGCTAGTAGGAAGGGTTCAAGCAGGAAAACAAAGAAAGGCAGAGGGAATGAGAAGGCTAGAAGCAGAGGAATGCTAGGAGAAACAGAGACATGTGGGCGTGAAGGCCTGGGAGCTGAGAGGTGAGTGGTGGCCCACGCAACCTTGCCAAGGATCCCATATCCAGGCCAAGGCAGGAGGCTACAGTCCCTGCTGGCATAGCTGTGCCCAGACTAGCTGCCAATCTCTTCCCCCAGACAATGTACATTTTGTGTCCATCAGCCCTCAGAATGTGTGGTGCTGTTCACTCAGCCCCTCAGCAGGCCCCTGAGAGGAGGTGGGGCCACTGTCCTCCCTCCAGCCAGAGGCGGGGAGTCCTGGCATGCTCTGCCTTGGAGCCCGAGATTGACTTGTCAAGCTATGTGAGAACATTTCAGTCACTTCTCTGTCTTCCTGTCAGAAGGGTGTGGCTGAGGCTTGTTTACCTGCTGTTGGAGTGTGGAAGGCACTGGTTCTTTAAGGGACCTGGGGAGTCAGCCATTTGTCCACACATCCACACTTTACAAAGTAGACTGGCAGTAAACGGTAAAAATAATAACTAACTCTTATACAGTGGTGTGAAGTTCCACAGGACATTAATAGTTTGGCATCTCACTTAATTTTCATGATATTTAGAAACTCAGGAAGCTGAAAGCCAGATGTCTACGTAGACTACATAGCTTGCTTAAGACTGAAAGTCCAGAGAGAGGCAGAGGCTAGGATTTGATCCACACCCTTCCCACCTTACCACGACCAATCCAAAAAATAATTATTGAGAATGCTTACCTCCATACTATGGTATTTGAGTGAGAAAATGTAACGAAAAAGATGCGAGACATCCCACACCATGCCCCCAGCAGATATCACTAATCAATCACAGTACAATTTCCTCTTGCCAGCCTCGGCATCCTTAAAAGAGTCTCCTTTATAATTGATCAGAATTGTCACTTGGGGTAAAAGCTATATTTTGTAAATGCTTCCGTTAAATCTCTTGAACTGGCAAAGTCAACACACATGATAGTCTTGGAAAGCAAAAGGAGGTGCCTTAGAATCAATAATCAGGTGTAAAGTGCTGGGATAGATAGAGATTCTGTGCCCAGAAGAAGTTCTGTGTAGAAGAAAGTACGACTAGGGCAGCCTTCACAAAGGTGTTAAAGACACTTGTAGAATGATTTTAATTTAGAAGATGGAGAAAGACGCAACCCTGGCTGCCCCTCAGAACCACCTGGAAAGTTTTTAAAACTGGTTGCCTGGGGCCCCTCCCAGACCAGTTAAATCAGGCTGTTTAGGGGTGGAGCTTGGGCAACTTTTGTTCTTTTCAATCTCCCCAGAGGTTAGGTTTCTCAAATGCAATGGGGTTGAGAATCATAACAACAAATGCACAGAGGAGGCCTGGAAAGAGGCACTTCCACTCACCTTCTCTGCTTCAGTCATGTTTTTCAGGATAGTGTGCATGCAGCCAATGTTGAAGCAAATCCGGGAGTGGGGGTCCTGGACGGCACTGAAGGCGTCCAGGGCTCCCTTCCAGTCCTTCTTGTCAGCTGCCAGCACCCCTTCATTCCAGAGGCTGATGGCCTCCGCCAGGGACATGATCAGGTAGAAACCAGGAGGCCAAGAGAGCTGCCAGGAGACAAGGAGAAGATAGGTTGGGGCGTCTCCCCCAGCAGGGCTGCCTTAGTGGCCCCCAAGGTGTTCACTTTCTGGGCCAGATGAGCAGAATGGGGCCCAGCCTCCCTTAAGATAACTTCTCAGTGTTGCAAATGCATCAGGAAATGTCCCCACCTTTTGACAACTGACTCATAACCCTACCATGAGAGAGAAAAGGAAAGAAGCAGAGAGAGAGGGCGCGTGGGGGTGGAGTGTGGAGGAGAGAGGAAGTACATCAGATGCTGCCTGAAGGATCAGTTCCCCAAAATGCTTCTGCTCTGTCACCCAGCTCCTCCTCTCTCTCCCACTCCTGTTCTGTGGTAGCTTCTGGCCAAAGCTCTGCTTCTAGAGCCAGGGCAACCTTGACAGGTGGAGGAACACCCCTGACACCCCTGGTGATAGTGACAGGAGGCAGCCAAATGCCTAGGCAGATAGGGGCAGGTCCCTGCTGAAACCCCACCTTCAAGCCAAAAACAGCCTGAAGGCTGAAAGATTAGGCTGCTGGTCCCAAATGAAACCCATGACCTAGAGTGAGAACTTCTGTTCCTGTTTGTCTACTCTTTCCCAATTAATTCTTTCTGACGAATGCCTTTTAACCAATTGAATGTTGCCTTTTCCAGTACTACCTATGACCTGCCCCTCCCCTATTCTGAGCCCATAAAAGCCTCAGACTCACCTGCACTGGGGGGACTTTCCTGCCTTTGGGTAGGGGAACCACCCCTGCACGCCCTCTCCACTGAAAGCTGTTTTCATCACTCAGTAAAACTCCCCACCCGGGCCGAGTGGGCAGGCCATCTCCTGCAGCAGGTAGTGTGGCCACTGAGGCATGGGCAGGGTGTCACCAGCCAGAGGTCCCTGGCTTACAAAGTGATGGAGAAAAAATCCTGTGTCACTGGGCCTTGACTTCCACACCCTTGTTAAATGGGAGTGTTGGATGAGAGGATAATTCTTTCCAGTCTTGAATGAATTCCTTGCTCACTTTTTTGTAATCCCAGAGGCTGTATTAATATGTTAGTGTTTAACTTGAGCTGAAATTATCATTAACAAATTTTTGAGACAGGATAGTCTTTGGATGTCCATCTGATCTGGGCCCGAAATAACTCTTTTTTTTTTTTTTTAGAGACAGAGTTTCATTCTTGTTGCCCAGGCTGGAGTGCAGTGGCACAATCTCAGCTCACTGCAACCTCTGCCTCCTGGGTTCAAGCAATTCTCTTGCCTCAGCCTCATGAGTAGCTGGGATTACAGAAGCCTGCCACCATGCCTGGCTAGTTTTTGTATTTTTAGTAGAGATGAGGTTTCACCATGTTGGCCAGGCTGGTCTCAAACTCCTGACCTCAGGTGATTTGGCCACCTTGGCCTCCCCACAAAGTGCTGGGATTACAGGCGTGAGCCACCGTGCCCGGTCGAAATAACTTTTATGAGCATTCAGGAAGTTCAGAGGGGACCAATTTCCTGCAAATGTCAGAATTGGGAGCTAGATATGACAGTGAATTATGACTTCTCCCATCTCCAGTGAAAAATTGAAGAGATGAAGGTCCTGCATTGACGACTAATGAATTTATTAAAGTCTCTGAAAAAACAAATTTAATAATTCTTTCCTTGCTTTCCTGGAAAAGTAAAAATCAGTAAAACCTCCCAGAGGAATGACTGGGGGTAAAGGGTATAGCTGATTTGGCTTACTAAAATCCTGGCTTCTTTTTAGGTAAAATGCATGTTTATGGGGGTCAAATAGTTAGATGCAAACTCTTGTTTTGTAGCAATTGAAAGAACTCACTTGTTGTCACCAAGCTTCCCCTAAAAGTCTGAAAATAAAACTTAAAAATGTATACTCCGGCCGGGTGCGGTGGCTCAAGCCTGTAATCCCAGCACTTTGGGAGGCTGAGACGGGCGGATCACGAGGTCAGGAGATCGAGACCATCCTGGCTAACATGGTGAAATCCCGTCTCTACTAAAAAATACAAAAAACTAGCCAGGCGAGGTGGCGGGCACCTGTAGTCCCAGCTACTCGGGAGGCTGAGGCAGGAGAATGGCGTGAACCTGGGAGGGGGAGCTTGCAGTGAGCTGAGATCCAGCCATTGCACTCCAGCCTGGGCGACAGAGTGAGACTCCGTCTCAAAAAAAGAAAAAAAAAAAAAAATGTATACTCCACAGTGCTTGTAGGATTGAAGGTGTGAGAATTAAGAAGACACTTGTGTCTTTGCACAGATTGCTTTCCTGTGTTTACAAGGACTTCCCAGCTTACTTCTTTGCCTGGCAAACTCCTACTCATCTTTCAAAGCCCAGTTTAAATGTCGCCAACTTTGCTAAATCTAGCCCCCCAACTCCAGGTAATAGGAGAATTTTCCCCTCCTTTGTACCACCTCTACCCAAACACTTCCATCATACTTATTGCAATTTATCTCTTCATCGGCTCAATTCTTGGGCCCTTTGGAAGCTGGGACCGTGGCTTTTCATTCTAGGATCTCTAGCACTGATACTCAATACATGATGAAGGGATGCATTCTAAAAGAAATGAGAAATCATTGGTAAATGACCTGCAGGTAGCAGTGATGGTAGAAAGAGGTATTGCTATTCCGTCTAGTGAATAAGTAATCAGGACTTGAATGGCACATTAATTATTTCTGAGAAAACCAAATGGATCTGTAGCTAAATTAGACTTTATTTTTTAAACATGTTTTTGCCCTCCTATTATCCTACCCTGACACTCAGGACTCTCCTTAATCTGACTGCCAAGACTTTTCTAGCCTTATCCCCAGAACGTTCCTTCACAATCCCACACAAACTCTGCTGCTTGCTCTTCTCCCGCTATGCCTTCATTTCCTGCGTCCGTGCCTCGACTCGTGCTAGTTCCTCTTTACAGGCTGACCTCTCCCATGTCTGCGCCTTCAGACCCACCTTTCATAGCCTTCGAAAGCCTGCTAAAATATCACCCTCCTTAACACACTGCCCTGAAATCAGTCCTGCCTGAAAGCACTCAAACCCATGATCTCACCTTCCGAACTCCTGCATCTCCTTCTCCGCACCTCCCACGTGGCCCTGAATCACTCTTCACCAATGTATGTGCATGTAAGTCTTAGCACCTCAAATAGTCGGTGTGCCTCGGGAGGAAGTCCTGGCCTAATCCATGTTTGTATCCCCCAGGGCACTAGCAAAGCCAGTCATGCTCCGCTCCATCCACTTTCCCTCCCCGTCTCGGTCACCACCCAGGCCAAGCCACTGTCAACTCCCAGGTGAACATGATAGTCTCCTAACATTCTTTGCCTCTCTATCCAGATTGAGCCTTTAAAAACACAAGTCAGATCACTTCATGCCCCCTGTTTTTAAACCTTCCATGGCTTTGCACTGCAGTCGGGATATAACCCAAACTCCTTCCCGTGGTGCAGGAAGCCCGCTGCCTGCTGCCCCGTGCCCATTCCATGCCATTTCCCCTCCTCCCCTCCCAAGAACTCCCGCTACACGGGCCTCCTTTCATGGTTTCATATGAGCCAGCCTCTTCCTCTGCCCACGTAATGCTCTTCCCCCAAACCTGCCTGGCTAGTTCCTACTCATCTTTCACTTCCTCAGGGTGCGTGGCCTTTCTGGATCCATGACCTTGCTATGTGCACGATTCTCTCTGATCACGTATTTGTTACAGTTTGTAATTGTATGTCATCTGTGACATTGTTTCTGTCCCTCAATGCAGGGGCAGTCTATCTAATCATTACCTGGTGCTGTTAGTAGCTGGTCTGTTCAGCCACCGTTCATCCGCCTTCCTCTGTTTGGTAGAACCCCAGTTCTGTTCAAGCCTCCAGTTTCCTGAAGCCATGTGCTTCAGGACGGAAAGTCTGCTGAGAATTTCTGGGAAAGATTTCTTCCCCAATGATGAAAAATAAAACACATGAGAAGAAACAGCACTTGTTTCTTTACTAGACAGCATTGTGAGATGTGTCTGGAACATGGCGGCTGTCTTATAACCATGAGGGGAGACAGCTAAGAACAAGCCATTGTCTGAAAGAAAAGAGAATGGAAAAATACAAAGAGCTCAGATGCTTAATTATGTTGATGAGATGTGTTGCATTATCTGTTTTCTGCAAATCTGGCTGGGCACAGTGGCTCACATCTGCAATCCCAACACTTTGGGAAACTGAGGTGGGAAGATCCCTTGAGGTCAGGAGTTTGAGACCAGCCTGGGCTATAAAACCAAACCCCATCTCCACAGAAGAAAACTAAAAATTAGCCAGGCATGGTGGCACTTGCCTGTAGCCCCAGCTACTCAGGAGGCTAAGGTTGGAGGATTGTTTGAGTTCAGGACTTCAAAGGCTGCAGTGAGTGATGATCATGCCCCTGCATTCCAGCCTGGGTGACAGAGCAAGACTCCGTATCTTAAAAGACAAAAATAACATTTTTCTACAAGTCTGACACTGATCTACCTTGGAATTCCTTGTCTGGTTAGATAATAAGTTTGTTTATTGTTTAAGTTATTCGTATCAAGTTTTCTATTAGTCATGGTTTAAAATGTTCTGACACACACACCACCGGATTCTCAGTATCTGGTCCAGGGCTTGGCGTATAGCAGGTGTTCAGTATACATTACTTGCTTTTTTTGTTTTGTTTGTTTGTTTGTTTGTTTTTTTAGTAGAGACGAGGTTTCACCATGTTAGCCAGGATAGTCTCGATCTCCTGACCTCGTGATCCGCCCGCCTCGGCCTCCCAAAGTGCTGGGATTACAGGCTTGAGCCACTGCGCCAACTTGTTGAGGCATTGGTTGGGTAACTCAGTTTCATCTCGATGTTTTCAAAATTATTCTAAAATTCTGAATAAGCAGGATGTGCATATGATTGGTTAACGGATTACAAACTACTGTTGCATGTATTTATTCAGCTGGAATCCAAGAACACACCCAAGACCCTCCGTTTTTTTCTGAGGAAGAACCCTGTAAAATCAGAATAAAACTCATTATTCCTGAGCACTCAGGAAATACTTTTTCATTCCTACATTTAGAGTTTAGTGTTCGATTGCTCTTTAACTTTTTCTGGTACTTGAGGCTTCTTTCTCAAGCTCCTCAAAGGGTAGAGCCAACTCTCCACTGTCCTTCAGTCTTTCACCATGCTTAGCACGTAGCAGCTGCTCCGTAATCATTGGTTAACTGGTTAAATGAACTGAAAAATGAGAAAATTGAATCCTACTTGGAAAAATATAATTTTGTAAAGTTTGTCAGTATCATGTTAGTTGCATAAAGGCAGGTACATTTAGACTAGTAGGGAAAATAATGCACTTTTTTGCCCTCAACTCTAACATTGAGCAGATAGTTTCATTGAGTACGAGACAGGAAACCCTGAAGAAAGCAGGCAGGAGACCTCATTTATTAGATATAAACTTGGCCTGGATCTCACATGAAGGATACAGAAAAGTCAACAGGGGTCCTGCTGTTCAGCAATGCTATTGAAAGCCTCAGGGCTCAAAATCTTCTTTCTCCAGGAAGGCAAGTTAGTCCTGTCTAATCTATCACTGGGTTGGTTTTCCATTGCTGCATGACAAATTACCACAAACTTAATGGCTTAAAATAACACACATGTACTATGTCACAGTTTTGATGGGTCAGGAGTCTGGGCATGGCTTGGTTGGGCCCTGTGCTCAGGGTCTCACAAGGCTGAGATTGAGATGTTATCTAGGCTGCATTCTCATCTGGAGACTTGACAGAGGAAGAATCTGCTTCCAAGCTCCCTTGGTTTGTTGGTGGAATTCATCTGTAGCTATAGAATTCATGAAAGCTTGCTCCTTCAATGCCAGCAATGGAGGCAGAGAGAATCTCTGCTTCATTAAGTCTCTCACCTCTAGACCTTCTTTTAAAGGAGTCACCTGATTAGGTCAGGCCCACCCAGAATATTCTCCCTTTTGATTAACTTAAAGCCAACTGCTTAGGGATGTTAATCATCTCTGTAAAAATCCTT